TGAGAAACAGATTTCTCTACCTCATCGGAAATAATTTTGTTTCCAGTTGGAGAGCATCCAGGCATTGGCAGGTAGATATAACTGCTTTTAATAACCCAAATAGGTATAAAATGAACATCGAAGTAAAAAAAATAATTTTCTTTCTATATGAGCACTATGGAGGAAATTTGGATTTTTCAGGTTGAATTTTAAGTTCATACTGTTTTTGTACTACATAGGCATATGGGGTTTAGAAATTTAAATATAGTCACAAAAAATATAAATGATCAGAGCTTTAGATAGCCAGACAGTGGTGGCATACAACTTAGGAGACAGTGGCAGGCAAATATCTGTGAATTCAAGGCCATCCTGGTCTATAGAGAGAGTGCTAGGACAGCCAGGGCTACACAGGGAAAGGCTGTCTTGAAAACAAACAAACAAACAAACAAAAATCTCCCATCCCAAAATCCAAAACAATAACAAAAAGTTTTAAGATAACTCTATATACATCCCCAGGAAATTGTGATCACTCCCTCCTTAGATCACCATTCGATGAATTAATATGAAAATGCTTTGTAGACTTAGGACGCACATTTTATAAATTAACTTTTCAGACTCATGATTGAGAACCAATTAGTTTTCAAATTAATACTACACTAAAATGGTTAGCATCTCAACTACAAATGTTTAAAAATGCTAAACATGTTATAAAATGGTTAGCATCTCAACTACAAATGTTTAAAAATGCTAAACATGTTATAAAATGGCTAGCATCTCAACTACAAATGTTTAAAAATGCTAAGCATGTTTAAATCCTTCAAATAACACTTCTGTGTGAGAGAGCTTGATATGATTTTAGTTCTCAGCTAGTTTTGTTGTTGTTTTCTCAAGACAGGATTTCTCTGTGTAACACTGGCTCTCCTGGAATTTGCTCTGTAGACAAGACTGGCCTCCAACTCAGAAATCCACCTGCCTCCTTAGTGCTGGGGTTAATGGCATGCAAACCACCACCTGTCTAGTTCTTAGTTTCTTAAGTAAGTTCCATGTTTAAATGTTCAGAAGGGTTTCTTTATTGTAAAAAGAATTTGCAAGCAGTCTGCTGAAAGGAAAGGAGTTTGGAATTACTTTTCGCCCTCTCATATTTGATTGCTTTATATGATGGATCTTTCCCACCTCACCACCATACAAGTATATTTAATGTGGCATGTGAATTACCTTGAATTGCCCTCTTCATAGGAAGTTCATGGCTTTTCCAGGGTTCTCTCTGAATAGCTCAGGATTTTTGAATAGATGAAAGAGGGCACTGCATTTTTTGAACCCAGGAGATCTTCTCCTCATAGAATCCTACTCTAATTTTGTTAGACCTTTGGTCACTTTTCTGTGGCATCTAAACCAATGTATCTGGACTTTCAGGAGCAAATGCCCCTTGGTGCTGTCATTCTTACAAATGTCTTCAGTGGTACCTGAGAGAGCTATGGTAGAAGTTGACTATAGTTCCACGCTGTGCCCACCAGCAGACTTCCTTCTGCATTCCCCTGCACTCTGAACATGGCCATCTTCTTCTCTTTGAGTGTTCTCAAAGCCCAGCTTAGAGCAGAATTTCTGGCCTAGTCAAATCATTCACAGTATCATACAGCATATGTTCTGAAATCCATTATCCTCAATCTTAAATAGTCACATGGAATAGGAACAGTTTAAGTCTCTGCTAATAAAAGACATTTCTGACCTTCACTATAGACATATTCCAGTTAAGGAGATACTTGCTTCATCTTATAAATAAGTAAAAATTCCTCCTGCCTCAGCAATCCTAGCTTGTGTCACCTATTACATAAACGAAAAATGTATTGTTTCATATTACATTTTATTTATTTAGTGGCAAGTGTGCAAACACCATATGTGTGGAAGAGAGCTGAGGACAATTTGAAGGAGTTGGATCTCAGGTCCAAAATGCAGCTTTAATCAACTCCCAACCATCAAATTTATCTTGTCATTCTACTCTATGAAAAGATCTAGCTCGCATGTCAGAGGCTGTTACTATATATTCTAACTCCAGATGGATGGGTGACTTCTATTTAATGCCCACAAATTTAATACTATCACAGTGCAATTTCATTGCCTTTGAGCAAAGGTTGATTTGAAAAAAATACGAAACATAATACCAAGAAAAGTGTATTATATATGCTTAGTCATATAGAAATGTCAGTTGAGGATGTCATTATTATTTGTAATATTAGGATATTAACTTATTCAAGGTAGAGATTAAGGATTTGATTATTATTTTATCCCTGTCAAGTGCCAAGTAAAATCTTGCATTAGTGACGATTCAAAAATTACATTTCATAAGTAAAATAAAGGTAAGAAGAGTAGCATTGTATAGAAACAGCTGTATAGTTAAATTGTTTCTCTTTATGTCTTTTAGGTTTACTTTTGTTTTTCTTTTTTGTTTGTTTTTTACTCATTTTTGCTTTTGAGACAGACACTCACTGTATAGCCATGTCTGGCTTGGAATTCTCTTTGTAAAACATGCTAGCCTCGAACTCACAGAGATCCACGAGCTTCTGCCTCAAAGTGTTTACCACCATACCCAACACGTTCAGCTCTTTTTGTTTTAATGTGGAGTCCCATGTAAGATTTGGTGGCATGATTGTGACTCTGAAATATTTCAGGGCTGGAATATCCATCCCTTTTAGAGAATAATAACTGTAGTGTAAGTAAAGCTGCGCTGCTTTGCATTTGTTATTGCAAAGATCAAGTATTCGTGGAATTCTGCAACTTCTCACTTTGGAACACAAAATTTCTGAAATCAGTTTTTGGTAAAATTGTGCATCACTACACAAACATATTTCAGCCTCCCAAAAAGTATGCTAGGATAAATGAGGTGGGTAACACCTTTGTCTTTCTTGTTAACTTTCACTTCTCCACTGGTTTACAGAAGTTGAGCCTCCTAAAATATACATTTGAGTAATCTTCATTGAAAATAATTGCACATAAGTGACCTTTGCAATGTGTTCCTGCCCAGTAAGTTTCTGGCATTAGCCTGATTTTTTTTCTTTTATTTCCCTTTGTGTGTGTGTGTGGGGGGGGTGTTAAGGAACTACAACAATGACTTTAATTCTGTGTTTAGAAATAAAGACTAGTGGCTAATTTCTGCCCCACTGTAACAGAAATTTTAATGTCTGAACACAATGTTAAAAGTAAAAATTATATGGTGATACTATTCTTTAATAAAATCAAAATGTATATGAAGCATGTGCATTTTATGAAAAAATCCAGTTATAAAAAATTCATTCTTTCAGGTCTGATAATGTCAAAATAGGCTTGAAGGTTGAATGACTTAATTACACTTGTTAGCAGAGAGTGAATGCTAATAGTTAGGTAACATTAAAAATGATATCTCATTTTCAAAATCATGGTATGTGCTGTAAGTGTCAACTACAAAGTAATTTTAGGGAAATGTCCCGATTTCTGCATTGCTTCCAATACGAAAACAAAAGTGGTATGCCAACAAAGATACATTTGCACCCATGTTACAATTTTACTTCTGTGATCACCAAACACTTTTAATGAACTTAACTCTAATATTTAAATAATGATTTGGTTTCCTCTTTTCTTCATAATTATTCCCTTACTGTTCTCCCAATCACTCTTATGAATTAGTATTCAACTATTACCTAGCCAAAGAGGAAAGACCAGAAGCAAATACTCTAAAATATTCATAAAACTTACACCAGACCTCAAAATTTTAGTCGGCAATTCATGGTTTTATATTTATTAGTTATGAAAGTTACATTTTCAATAGTTCTAAAATACAATTTGGTAGAGATGATAGATTGATAGATAGATGATAGATAGATAGATAGATAGATAGATAGATAGATAGATAGATAGAAAAGATTATTACATGTAGTCAAGGTCTTGCTGTATAGCACAGGCTAAACTTGAATGTGTGATTACAAGCATAAGCCATCACATAAATATTTACATTTTATGTGACACGATAGATGACAAAATTAAAATGCCAATGTGGGATCAGTGTATATTTTAAGCATATTTGATGAAGAATACACAGTTATGGAGAATCATCAGTGAGAAGAAAATGGGATGTAAAATAAGATGATTTTAACAAGACACACTCAGTTGCTTCTCTATGATATTCTTCAGAGGCAATGGCATCCTTTGCCTACAGGTACGCAGTGGGCATCTCTGGATTGACAGTCTTAGGGCTTGTTCAGGTGGTAATTCCAAAAAAGTTCTCTTTTGGGCTGCTTTAGAGGAAAAATGTGAAAGGAATGTCAGAGACACCTTTTTTCCTTCTGTTCCTTCCCTCTTCATATGGGATATGTATATTTTATATTTTATTATATGGACACATTTTAAATGGAGGTAGTTTTCTGATGTATATTTAGCAAACATGGCTGCATGTTATGTATTAAGCATTTCTGTCCAAATGAAAGATTTTCAAACTTGGTAAGCAATATAGCTATAAAAACTCTTGTACTGAATTGTGAGACATGCCCTGCATACCTCATATTTCCTGTATTGAAGGCCAGACAGCTAAGTCCCTCAGAATTGGAAGTTCCTCTGAAAGGGTATATTTGAAGAAAGGGCCTTGAAAGGGCAATAAAATTTTAGAAAATTTAAGGTATATCTTAATATTACATGACAGGTGACTTTTTAAGAAATGGGGATTTGAACACACCAAACAGGTAAACAATTATATGAGGACACAATAAGAAGGCAGCAACATGCAAGACAAGGAGAAAGAAGCCATAAGAAACTAAATATCCCAATAATTTTTCACTCAGAATTCTAACCTGTGGATGTATGAAATAAAAATAAATTATGTTGTTGAAAACACACATACCGTATGTGGTACCTTATAGTGGTAATTCTAGTAAACATATATATATATATATATATATATATATATATATATATATATTTATTTACAGAAGAAATGGTTTTATTAAGTCTTGACATCTAGTGGTTACCTCTGAAATATTTCCTTAACGCAAAGTTACAGCTTTTCAAAGAATGCCAGAGAGCAATTTGAGAAACTGTCCACCATGCACAGCAATATGGTGAAGCTCTATGAGAACCTTGGAGAATACTTCATTTTTGACCCAAACACAATACTCATAGAAGACTTTTTTGGTGATCTCAACAACTTCAGAACCCTATTTTTGGTGAGTAATATATTTAAAACATGGTGAATCGTGTGTTGTTTATTTCTTTGAACTTGTACTGGTATCTTTATATATCTAATAACTGTACTGATTTCTTGTTATAGATCTTTATTCTCCAGCAGGAAAGTCAGTTAAGAGCCACACTATTTGTCATTTGAGGTGTGTTCTTGGCACCCAACAGTTGTTTGTTAAGTGGGACTCTGTTAATCAGTGATATTGTCCCATGAAAGTAGGATTTAGACAATTTTTGATAAGAACAGGCTTGGAGGAACCCTTCTTCCTAGTTCTTAAGATACATATCAGGGTATATCTCAGCAATTGAACCAACAACTCTGATAATAGTACAATGTACACAAACTTTGTTAAATACCATAAATGCTTTTCATGTCTTTACTGAAAATAAAAGCCGATGTTGGCCTTTGACCCTTAACAAGACACATATTTAACTTTTCAGCTCACCTATAATTAGTATTGTGATCTGCTAACAATATGATAGCTCATAAGAGATAATCAATTTTCAAAATGTAAAAGTTATAAATATACTATGAATACATAAACACATGAACAACACTCCTTTCTGTATCTTCACTTTCTGTAGTTCAGATCAATTATAGATTTCAATAATTAAAGATCCAAGAGGTAAACAACTCAAAGGTTTTAAATAATTTTTTTCTTTTTTTAAATTTAGAAACATATCAATCCCCCCTCCCTCCAGTCCTCCCATGCCCCCTACCAACCTCCCCAACCCAACCCCCACTCACTCTCCAAGGACAGTGAGGCCTTCCATGGGGATTATCAATGTATGTCACATCATTTAGGGGAGAACCTAGGCCCTCCTCCATGTATCTGGGCTGTAATAGTATCCCTCCATAGGAAATGGGCTCCCAAAGTACATTTGTGCACTAAAGATAAATACTGGTTCCACTGTTAGAGGTCTCATAGACAGCCTAAGTTTTAAATAATTTTTGTCATAAGATATTGCTATAATTGATTTCTTTCATTATTATTGTTAATCTCTTACTGTGGCTAACTTAACTGACATGCAAACTTTGTGTGCAACTTATTGGCAGTCTTGATCTTGGGTTTGTTCATATAACCTCTCTGAGCATTGATTTCCTGTAATCTATAATGTGCAGATGAAGGGTATTATAATTCGTTCTCTGACCATTCTTTCAATTATCTATTGAGAATCAACATTATTTGATGTGCTGAGTCAGTAGTAAAGAGAAGGAATAGTTTGTCTCTATACCATGAGTACTAGCAGTACATGCATTAGAATTTACTGTGTCCTAGCATACAGTAATATATTAGGTATAGTAATAATACAAAGTAGGAAGTGCCTAATTCTGCCTGTGGTGGCCAGAAAAGCCTTCATAAGGACCTTGACATTTGAGTAGAGTCTGGAAAAATCCATAGGAATTTGACAAGCAGGCTTTGACGAGCATGTTTAAGGGTTTTACACCTGACCTATAAGTCAAAGACTCCAAAATCAACATCTCCAGCATCAGTCAATCGCTGATGCTCACCATGTTCCTGTTTCATGGTGAGCTTAAAGTGATTTCACTCTCTCAGGGGAGAGAAGAACCCCGAAAGAGAGACAAAAATTGGAATCGCTAGAAGTTCCCATTTTCTTAGTGCTTTGTGTGTTTGGCCTCAGGGTTCTTAGCGCTAAAAGCATATTGGACTATAGATGGAAGCAATAAAATACCAGTAGTGCTGAGAAGAAAATAAGAGTTCTGATTCATGTGCTACCAAAAATGACTTCCAAATGAGCTTAGAGTTTCATCTTGGGAGATCTATTTGGCAGGTGTAGCATAAACAAAATGCACATACCAAAAAAAGCTTCCTCTGAGAGAGCCATCTTCTGAGTGATAGGAAATACAGAAATAAAGGAAAAGAGCTGACATTACGGATTAAGTCCTTTTTCAAAATTATCACATTCAAATGGAGGAAAAACACTTTAGATAATATCTAGTGAATGGTGCTCTATTCGTTATTAATATAATTAATATTGTCTATCATTCAGCTAGTGAGTATATTGAAATTATTAAAAATGTATATATATACGTATCTGATATTTACATATATATAATTGGAAACATTTCAAAATTCATAATGTATACTGTCTTTTTAGTTCTTTTAGCTGAATTTTTATCAGTTTTTAAAATGGCATATAGACAGCATTAATTAATAACTCTTAAATTCAAATTGAATGTTTTATGGGAGAACCTCAATTCCATATTTATATGCTGTCTAAATATCTTTTTTGCTTATTTTCTTTATGCTTCAATCATCGACTATTTCAAATAGTTGACTGCATAAATACACTTTTTTCTTTTGAGCTATTTTGAATAGAATATTCAAAACCAGTGAGCCTTATGTGTTTCACCACCATACAATACAAAAATTAATTTCAGCTGCTGGAAAAGTGTTTGAGGCTAGTATTTTACCTCAATAACTTTCATCGCTCCAAATAAATTAGAGACAATACTTCTTTTCTCTTTTAAATCTGTCAGTTTCCTGCTGCTTCTGTCTGTGTGTGTGAGTGTTTTAATAAATAATATGTTACCCAGGAACTCAATAAATATTTGTTGTGTGTGTCCTCATTCTACACTTCATAAACTAGAAACATAGGAATAAAGCTTTGCCAAGTTGTTAAATTATTGACCGAACTTGAGAAGAAGTTTTCATAACTATTAATTATTCCAGGAGATTTTCCCCCAACCAAACAAATACATGTAAGAATTTATTTGTTAAATAAACCTGGTAACAGCTCTTGAATAAGCATTAAAATGGTAAAGTGTTAGGAGGCTAAATAGTATCAGGTAATCATGAAGTTCTAGGTACTTATATAATAATGCAACTTCTGAAATACTTTTTGACTTAATCTATTTTTTTTCTAAATATGGACACTATGTTAGTTTGAAAACTCTAACATATCTCAGCTTGACTATAAGAATGACTGTATTCCTTCTACATTAGGAAACACCAAATCTGGAAGGTAGAAGCAGAAAAAGGCAACAATGGGTTCCTTAGAAACTCTAGACTTTGACAGAACAGAGAGAAACTTTGGTAATCCAGGATCAATACTAAAGAAAGCCTGACAGGGTAACATGTTATTGTTAAACTAGTTAGTTGGTGCTACAGGGAATTATAACAACTAAGGCCAATATATGTCGTTTTCAGAAATAATCTTCCATCTGTGTTTAAAAAAATGATACCTTTAAACTCTTAGCTTTGTTTTGAGACATGGTTTTATGTGCTCAGACTAGCCTCAAATTAATTGGTTTTCCTGCCTAAGTCTCTTTAGTGCTATGATTATGTGCATACACCACACTTCCAAGTTTCCCCTTTAATTTTACAAAAATAGAACAAAACACAGAAAAGCTGCTGCTCAAACTATATGAAATGTTGTAGGAAACTGCATAAATTCTAGAAGAAAAACCAACCAGAATGAAAAAAATCTGAACATTCTGTTTGTAATCTCTGTGTAAACATGTTCACTTACGGTTATACTTAAAATGCATCTCTCTTAATTGTCCCTGAGTCTAAACTGTAACTGGAAAACAAAAATGATCGTCTTCATTTAGTTAGACTCAAGACTAAATTGATAATATACAGAAAAATTTCCTCCTTCACTAAAGGCAATTTGAATTTAAAGAGGCATGGGTGAATTTTTACATAAAAAGACTGTCTATAATTTCTGATCTAAGAGGACTAAGTTACTGTGACACATTTAAAAACATTCATCTCCCAAGCTCTTGGCATTTGAAGGGATGGTTAGTGCTGTAGCCCTTAAAAGGGGGGGGGACATGTTGGACATTGTAAGAAATGAAATACATTGTTTAACTAAGTCTTAATCAGTAATAAAACCATTATCTAGAGTCTTATCACTCCCAAGTCTCTAGTAGAGGCCTCATAAGCTTATTTCTCTTGGCTTTGCGAATAAACTGCTAATTGGTATTGTGGAGATGACCTTGAGAAACTGCAAGATCCTGATGTGTGTCTTGAATAATTTAGTTTTCTTTGTAAGCTAAAGGTCTCCAAGTCTCATCACTTAGGAATGCAGAAGCAGTTTGCCTTAGTAACAATAATCCAAATATTTCTAATAATCTCTTCTCCCCCAGCCTTCAAACTGAACTCAAACTCCTACAGCCTGTATTCCAATGGGAGCATCTGGAGTAAACACAAGCATGCATACATGCTAACAACATGTTATCTATGGTTACCTTTTGACATTTGCTCACAAGTAAGCCATGAGACTGAGCAAAACAAAAGTCTTTGTCTCTCTCAATGTGTCATATATTTCTCTAGTTCACAACTGGACAAGATTCTTTTCTTTAAAAAGCTGTTTGGGCTTGCCTTCCACAGAAATATGGACCACAGGTCCAAGGGTGCAGTTTCCTTGTGTGCCAATTTTTGCCACAAATCCTTTGGTGCTTAAGTAGTCATGCTTTATAGAACACTTCATAAAAAAACAGTTTCTTTCCCTTCTCTCCCGATCCTCTTCTCCTTAGAGGTTTTTAAAGGTGTTTTAAGTGCTAGCTACCTGAAACACTTTCTAATACCATAAAAGCCTTCACTTCCCTATTCTTCTCTATTGTTCAGTCATTGAAGCTTATATCTTCCTTTTCCTAGAATCCAGAAATAAATAAAATGCCAGCATAAATCCTGTCATGCAAATAGAGCCCTAAGGGCCTACCAACTCCCTCTAGTTAATCACATACACCCAGATAATTCCCTTTGAGCTCAGCTGGGACCACCCTAGCTACATAGCCTTCGGTGTATTTTGATCTATTGCAACACTTTGAAAATTGGAGATCCATGTAAAATATATGGTAACTCTATTAAATAGAATATTTGACCAGAATTCCTTATTCCCCAGCTGTATCAGAAAGACTTGAGTGTATTATATACAGCTATCATTGACTTCTCCTTTACAAAAAGATGTCAGCTATCAACTGTTGTATTCTGTTTGACTATTTACTTTGGGCTAGAAA